CTGCCTCCTGCACATCTCCTACTGGGGATGTGCCCGCAACCCAGGTACATGCCCTTGACCAGAATCGAACCCGGGACCTTTCAGTCCGCAGGCCAACGCTCTATCCACTGAGCCAAACCGGTTTCAGCAAGAAATATATTTTTAAAAAAGCCAGTCATATGATACTTCTCATGCCCCTTTTGAAGTGTATAATTATGCAAATGTAAAGAATTACCATGATAGATTAGATTTTTAGAAAGTTACTGCGCCTGGGAGACATTTTTGTTGCAGTAACAATGCTACCACCTTTCAGATAGTCGTCCTCCGCTACTTCCTGCTATTTCTACTGCTGGTCAAGTGTGTCTCCATCCCTTGAAGTTCGGGCAGAGAGATTCCACTGAAACAAGGGCTCTGGCTGGCGGCCAGCGGAGGAAGTTTCTGGATCCAGTCAGCAGCCCTCCCAGCAGCAGTGGCTTCCCGCCCCTCGTCCCCTCGGCACCCGAATCATTTCAGCTCTGAGGATGCGCACATGGTCCCGTCTCCTCGTGTGCGTGTGGCCCTGGTTGATTTGTGGGGTGAGAGGGAGGGAGTGACAGAATCTTTAGTGAGCTCTTGAAGTTTGCATACTCTCCTGGATGTCACTTTATTTTTATTTATTGATTTTAGAGAGGGGGGAAGGAGAGAGAGAATGTCGATTTGTTGTTCCACTTATGTATGCACTCATTGGTTGACTTTTTAAAAAGTTGATTTTAGAGAGAGAGGAAGGGAGCGGGAGAGAGAGTCATGGATCGGCTGCCTCCTGCACGCCCCCTACTGGGGATCGAGCCTGCAACTTGGGCCTGTGCCCTGACCGGGAATCGAACCGTGACCACTGGTGCTTGTGGGGGACAACAGATGCAAAAAGCCACTTACCACCCCCCACACACACACTACTCTTTTCCTGGGGAAAACATTTTGTCTCTTGTAAAGAAGTCGCTGCCATTTAAAATCCTTGCTCGGATCACAATGGATGCGGCCTGCTAACTTGAGTAGTAAGCTCTCCCCTCTCTCTCTCTTCCCCTCTCATATCTTTATGGGAATGGAGCAGTCCTCACTGGGCTTGAGGGCAGCATGAGCCTTCCCCACGCACCCCCACCCTCAGCAGATAGCCAGCCTGCGCTGCGGCTCCTTAAGAGTGGCGGGCCTGCGTGGGGCTTTAGCCACGGCCCCTCCAGGCTAACAGCGAGCGCCTTCCAGTGGTCCCAGCCGGGACCTGGGACCCGCGGAGCCCTGGCCATGTTCCCCAGAGAGAGCAGGGCCTCACCCCAGGACCCTGGATCCGCTCCTGTGTGTGGCTACAGGGTCATTGCACGTGGGATTAAATTTAGGAGTTGGAGATGAAGAGACTGTGAGGTCTGATCAAATAATTGAATCATCCCTGCCTCCCCCTGGGAACTGACCTTTAGGCCACTTCACAACCGACATTCCCTTTCGCTTGACCACATTCCACTTGCTAAGACCATTATCTCTCCCCTCTGGACTTTCCCAGGATCCTGACCCGCCCAGAGAGTTTCCCGCTGAAACCCCCCCACCCCCACCCCCCAGAGTCCTTAAACCATCTGACTGCCCGTCACTGGGGGGCTGGCAACATTCGGGGCTCAGCCCATGTGGTCTCCAGGTGACCCAATTCATTCACAATCCCTCACCATGTGTGCTCCTCCTTTGGCGACCCTGACAGACCCCCCTGGTTTCTGCAGATGGCCCTGTAGTGTCCCCCGAGTGTCCTCCAGGCTGAGGAAGGCGGGCCCGGGCAGACAACAGAGGCTGTGAGGACAGGGGTAGAGATCGAAGGGGTGCGGCCACCAGACACGGGAGGGGCAGGACACAGGCTCGCCCCACTGCCCTGAGGGCCCGCCCTGCTGACCTGGAGTTCACACTTCTGGCCTCCAGGACAGAAGCACAGGTTGCCTGTTTTGAGCAGGTGATGGTGATGTGTGACAACAGCCAGCCCTAGGAAACAACAGTGTCCCAGAGGCCTCAGATTTCCACGCACCCTAAAGGCACTCATGGTTGACTCACCTCACCTGCCCGCGGGCCTCCAATCGCCACTTATCAGGCACTCAACTCAGTTCTTCAGCAAGAAAACCACTTCTCTGTTTTCTTAAAATATTTTTATTGATGTCAGAGAGGAAGGGAGAGGGAGAGAGAGAGAGAAACATCCATGATGAGAGAGAATCATGGATCGACTGCCTCCTGCATGCCCCACACTGGGGATCGAGCCCACAACCCAGGCATGTGCCCTGACTGGGAATCAAACCATGACGCCCTAGTTCATAGGTCGAGACTTAACCACCGAGCCACACCGGTCAGGCAAGCCACTTGTTTTTGATTGCCCAGCCACTACCGTGTACACAAACACACACACACACACACACACACACACACACACACACACACACACCCTGGGGAGGGGATGTTGAGGCTCAGAGATTCCAAATCCAAATGAACCCGATTGGGCCAGATTTCTGCCTTCTAGGGCTGAGGCTGCCAAGCTCCCCACCAAGAGAGCTCCTGGGTCATGATTTCCACCTGAGGAGCCCAGGGCCTCTCAGCCTGCGAGATAACAGCTCCCTTAGTCCTCCTCCTGGAGGTGCTAGAAATACTTCAGGGAGAGGGAACCAGCCGCAGGGCCACCTCAGGTGTCCCTAACCCTTTCCCCTCCTGTCCTGGTCAGTTAGACGCCCTTCTGCACTGACTTGCGCTCTAGTTGTCTCCTGGTGGCTGCTTGCTTTGTGTTCGCAGCTGGAGTTAGTGCCCCACACTCCCTGTACCCTTTACACTCCTTCCCCACCTCCCACCTCCCCACCCGGAGGCTGGGCTGCCGGGAAGATGCTCAAGAAATACCTCAGAAGCCCACGCCCCTTGGCTACTTTATATGAAGGCCAAACTGCAAAATAGCCAACGTCTTTCTAAAGCTGTATTTTATTTTTTTTTATTTATTTTTTATTTTTTTAAATACATTTTATTGATTTTAGAGAGGGAGAGAGAGATAGAAATATCAATGATGAGAGAGAATCATTGATTGGCTGCCTCCTGCATGCCCCCTACTGGGGATCAAGCCCGCAACCCAGGCATGTGCCCTTGGCCGGAATCGAACCTGGGACCCTTCGGTCCACAGACCGACGCTCTATCCATTGAGCCAAACCAGCTAGGGCTAAAGCTATATTTTAAAATAGGAATCTTTAAAAATAGTGGCTGCAGCTAAGCACCCTCTCATGAACGCTCCTGATTTGAAAAGGTAGGTATTGGGTTATATTGTGATTAGCTATTGATGGTTCTCTGAAAGTTGGTTCAATTTGCCTTTTATTTATTTAAATATATATATTTGTATTGATTTCAGAGAAGTAGGGAGAGGGCGAGAGAGAAACATCAATGAGAGAGAATCATGGATCGGCTGTCTCCTGCACGCCCCACACTGGGGATCAAGTCCTCAACTCAGGCATGTGCCCTGACGGGAATCAAACCATGACCTCTTGGTTCACAGGTCTACACTCAACCACTGAGCCACACTGGCCAGGCCAATTTGCCTTTTATTGATTGATTCATTCACTATTGGTAAAAATTTATATTAAGAATATGTTTTAACCCCCATTTATTTGGTCCCTTCTAAACACAGGGACCACACTATAGTCCCACACTATAAGCAGCGCATGCGTCCTAACAACGGAAGAAGGGCACTCACAGGCCTGGGGTAGCCTCCAGTTTTGCAGGCAAAGCTTCCCACCCGGAGGTTGCAGCCTCCTTCCTATCGGCTGTTGCTGTTTGGAGATCAAGGGAGCCTCACGGTGTGGCCAAGTGTCCAAACCTCCTACACGCCCTCGTGCAGTGAAAGCCGCCCTCACGGGTAGACCTACAGGGAGAGAGCGGCAGCAATGCACGCAGGGCAGGGGGTTTCAACCCTCATCCGTGTCAGAACTGCCCTCCGCTGCCCAACCTGGCCTCGGTCCTGCAGGAGGAAGGCGAGGCCTTCAGGGCCTGGCTCAGTGACCTCAGGCCGGCCGCTTAATCCCTCGTGGAAGGGGGTGATGGAGGTCCCGGAGGGAGTGTGCTGAGAGGAGCTGAGTCCAGTTACAGAGGGCGCTTGGCACCCTGGACCCTGCCTCTCCCAATGATAACATCTCCCAACATCAGCGGTTCTCAACCTGTGGGTCGCGACCCCTTTGGCAGTTGAATGACCCTTTCACAGGGGTCGCCTAAGACCATCCTGCAGATATTTGCATGACGATTCCTAACAGTAGCAACATGACAGTTCTGAAGTAGCAACAAAAATAATTTTATGGTTGGGTCACAACATGAGGAACTGTATTTAAAGGGCCAGAAGGTTGAGAACCACTGCCCAACATGATAGCACAATATATTAACATTGATACAATGACACACGCCACCAAGTTCATTCAGATTTCCCCAGTTTACACACACTCCTGTGTGTGTGCATTTATTTATTATTATTTTTTAATCCTCACCCGAGGATATTTTTCCATTGATTTTAGAGAGAGTGGAAGGGAGAGGGGGAGACAGAGAGGAACACCAATGTGGGAGAGACACATCAATTGGTTGTCTCCTGCCTGCTGCAGACCAGGGCTGGGAGCCTGCAAGGGAGGTATGTGCCCTTGACTGGAATCAAACCCGGGACCCTTCAGTCTGAAGGATGACACTCTATCCACTGAGCCAAACCGGCCAGGGTGTGTGTGTGTGTGTGTTCAACTCTGTGCAATTTAATCAGTCTGTGAGGATTCGTGGGGCCACCACAGTCACGGTACACTTGAGATTGATTCTTAATGCACACTCTCCAAGGCTCCGCTGAAAAAGGGGAAAAAAAAGGCTTATTTCTCTAACTCAGTGGTTCTCAACCTTCCTAATGCTACAACCCTTTAATACAGTTCCTCATGTTGTGGTGACCCCCAATTTCATTGTTACAAATGGAACATAATTAAAGCATAGTGATTAATCACAAAACAATATGTAATTATATATGTGTTTTCCGATGGTCTTAGGCGACCCCTGTGAAAGGGTCGTTCGACCCCTAAAGGGGACGCGACCCACAGGTTGAGAACCGCTGCTCTAACTAGAGGCATTGAGGACCCCACAGCCTGGAGGGCATTCCTGGGGCAGTGAGCACTGCCCAGCCTCGGGCAGGTGCCAGGGGAGTCTGCACTCATTCCAATCGCCATGGAATCCTGACCACAGGATGCAGACCCCTCACTTGACCACTGAAGAGACCAGAGTTGGAGCTCCTCTTCCTGGCTCCTCAGTGGCAGAGCCCAGACGAGGCCCGGGTGGGCCTCAGAGTCTGTCCCGTGCTGTCCCGTCTTGTCCTTGCCGCCGGTCCGAGCGCCATCACCTGCTAACAGCCCGGACGGATGGAGCTGCTTGGAGGAAACAGGCGTTCATCAGCGTCCGGCTTCATAACTACAAACGGCAAGAAAACAATTGTTTTTTGCAAAGCATGCAAATACCTAAATACTGCGATTTCTTTATTCCGGACTTTTATGGAAATTGAAAAAGAGGCAGGAAGAGGTGGCACACCCGTTCATGTCATAAACATGCAATGATGCCAGCCCAGCACGCACTGCCCCTTGTAGGAGTGTCCCCTGGGACACTAAGTCGTAGTGACCGAAATCCCTGAAAGCGAGAACAGGGTTTGCAGGGGAAACGCTTCTGGGATGTGGCTGCAGGAAGAGCCCACAGGAAGCCATTCCTCACCTGGTGGGCGTGCCTCAGTGGCTGAGCGTTGACCTAAGAACCAGGAGGTCACAGTACCATTCTGGTCAGGGCACATGCCCAGGCTGCGGGCTCCATCTCCAGTGAGGGGCGTGCAGGAGGCAGCCGATTCTCTCTCATCACTGATGTTTCTCTCTCTCTCTCCCTCTCCCTTTCTCTGTGAAATCAATAAAAATATGTTTTGTTTTTTTTAAAGATGCCATTCCTCATCTGGGCTGGGCGCTGCAGAAGGGGCTTTGCGGGAGGGTGAGCAGTCCGTCGTCCCTCCTGGGGACAGGTCCAGCGGTGGGACCCTGGCTGCAGGGGGCGCCCCTTCCCAACTCTCCGGCCGGTGTGGGCGCGCGCGGGGCGCTCCCGGGACCCACGGTCCCGCCCGCTTCCGGCCTCACCTGCGCGGCCCCAGGTCTCCGCCCGCGGTCCGCGCCCACAAAGGCGGCGGCGCCGGGCCGGCCGCGCGCCCCAAGATGGAGACGCCAAGGACTCGGGCCGCCGATCGGCCCGCCCCGCGGCTCACCTGCCGCGCCTCGGTCTTCCCGGGGGCGGGCTGACGCGCCCCGGACCTCCGAGGGCCTCGCGGGCAGACGGGCGGGGCCTCGGGCCGCAGACCCGGGCCGTCCCCCGCCCCGAGCGCGCGCCCCCGCTCTACGCGCGCCCCCGCTCCTCGGCCCGCCGATCGGCGCGAGCCCCCCGCGCCCGCCGCGCCCCGCCCCGCCGGCCCGCCCCCTCCGGGCCCGCCCTCCGCCGCCCGGCTCCCTCCCGGCTCCCTCCCGGCTCGGCCGGCACTTTCCTCTCAAGTTGCAGCGCAAGTTCGCTGGTGGCCGGCGGCGGGGCGGGCGCCCGCAGCCTCGTCGCCTCGGCCAGCCGGGCCCCCCGGGGTGCATGGGCGCGGGCCCGGGGTCTCAGGGGCCTGGCCGTCTGCGCGCCCCGCGCCATGGAGGGCGCCGAGCCCCGCGCGCGGCCCGAGCGCCTGGCCGAGGCCGAGGGGCGCACGGCCGACGGCGGGCGCCTGGTGGAGGTGCAGCTGAACGGCGGCGCCCCGTGGGGCTTCACCCTGAAGGGCGGCCGCGAGCACGGCGAGCCGCTGGTCATCACCAAGGTAGGGCGCGCGCGGGACCCGCGCGGTGACAGCGCGCCGGCGGGCGGGGGGCTCGGAGGGGGTGGGGGCACCCGAGGGAGCGGAGCGATCGCGCCCCGGGCTCCAGGGCGCGCGTCGGGCCGGGTCACCCGTGGGGAGGTGGACTCCGGGCCACGTCTAGGTGTGCAGTCCGGGCGCCAGCCCCGCCGCTCCGTGGCGGCTTCCAGCCCTGCTGGCTCCCGGCCCCCGCGCAGAGTTTAAATGGCTTCTGTTCCGGGTCCCCTCCCCTCCCCCTCCGGGAAGGAGCCGGACGGGGTCCCTGGCCCCTCCCGGTCTGGCCCGCAGCGGCCTGCACCTGTGGGGCTGCCCAGAGGCCGGGGAGAGCCGCTCCCACGTGCCCAGGGGTGGACGGAGCCGCCCCACCCGCGTGCGCCTCTGTGGACGCTCGGTTCTGCGCCCCTCGGACCCGCGCCCCGATCACTGGGAAACCCAGCCCAGCAGCTGCCGCCGGCGCAGCTTCTCGATTCCCATCAGCCCATCAATATTTACTGACTTTCAGCTTCCAGTTCCACGGCGCTCTGGAGACCTGCCGAAGCTACGGGAACTTTTCAGCGCCTTTATAGACGTGGAGTTTCGGCTCCAATAACGATTCCTAGTGTGTCTGATCCGGAATGTGTTTCACCTGTAAGAGATGGGGAGAGGGGGCTGTTTTAGAACTGAATTCTCTTGTGTCAAATACAAACCCACCTTGAAATGGATCAGCGGACCCGTAAAAACACGCAAACCACCACCAAATCTTCCTGTTTTCTTCTGGCTCCAAGTGTGGGGTTGGCGCGTTCATTTGGGAAGGGTTGGGCAGGGCATTCCTGGGGACAAAGTTCCATTTACAATGTAAAATGCTTGGCTGCTGGGAGCCAGTGAAGGTGACCTGCCGTTCTCTGGGCTTTCCTGCTTGTCCGGTGCAGGGAGCAGCCTGGTGAAGGCTAAGCCGCCCTCGGCCATGAATTTGGGAAGTGGCTTTGTGGTTCAGATAGCCAAGGAGCCATCAAACTTCTCTGTTCCATGCTTTGGCTCCGGTTTATCTTTGCAGAACTGCAGACTTGAGGGGAGGCTTGGTGAGAGTGCGCTGACTTGGTGTTGAACTGTGTGCTCTTTGGAAAGATGGTGGGCAGGCATTGTGACCTGGCCCAGCAAGGGCACTTTTCCCGCATGTTTGAGTATGAAAGCATATTTTGCCTGTATCTATTTTAAAAAATATATCCTTGTGTATCAACTTTTTTTTTAACTAATTTTTTTTAGAGAGAGAGCAAGGGGGAGAGAGAAACATTGATCGGTTGTCTCCCATATGCACCCAGACTTGGGATTGAACCCACAACCTAGCTATGTGCCCTGACCAGGAATTGAACCCACAACCTTTTGGTGTATGGGAGGGTGCCCCAACCCACTGAGCAACCCAGTCAGGGCTTGCCTGTCCCTTTTAAATAAAGGTTTTACAAGACATTTCTGATGGTAAAATTAAAGATACTGGGTAAATTTCTCAGACCTTTAGTATCTCATGTATTCTTTTAAAGAAAAGATACACGATTCAACTTTCATGGAGGGGCAAACCTAGGTTTACTGTTGTTTGTATGGAAGAGAATACAGTAATTAAATAACAATACAAGAATAAACTGGCTGAGTACTCACAACTGTAAGCCCACGTTTGCCCCACCCTGTGTCTTCATAGCAGGTGGAACAAGTTGAAAAACATTTAAGCTGAAGTCTTGCTTTTTGGCCTTAAACCGAGTGAGAAAGCTGGAAGTCACTTTACAATTTATTTGTCTTACTAGAAGCTGATTAAGAGGACCCCAGAGCACCTCCTCCTTTCTACAGGTACCCCAAGTTCTCCCCCCTTCTTTTTGCTTAATATTTTTTGTTTTTCAATTACAGTTGACGTATAATATTATAGTAGTTCCCGGTACACAACCCAGTGATTCGACATTTATATAAGTTACGAAGTGATCACCCATATGGCAATAGGTACCCCAGTGGCCTCCTGTTCTCTGTGTCTAAGAGGACCCCAAAGTTCTAGAAACCCCAGTGTAATGGCCTCCTGTTCTCCGTGTCTAAGAGGCGCCATTCCGCAAACTGAAGGAGGGGGCAGTAGCACCGGCAGACATCGGGGCCTTCTCGGGGCTGGGAGGCCCTGGCCCCTGAGTTGGCCTATTGGTTGCTAAGGTTTTTGGGGGAACATTTTTGTGGCCGGGCTAGAAGCAGTGTGCGCTCAGCCTTTCTGCACTGTGCTTCAGGATTTTACAGACTCAAATGCTTGTGATTCTTATCTGAGATACTCATGCGTCCCTCCCTTTAACTGCTGCTTCGTTTTTACAGGCGCTTCAAGGAGATTTGTGGTTTCTTTGCTCTGGAGGGAGAGCATTCAGAGCAGCTTGGGCTTGTGTTCTAAATGTTCATGCACACGTGTAAGTGCGCACATGCATGCTCACACATGCATACACGGAACGGTATTGACGGTATTTCCATAACTGTCTTTTTTCCTGGGTTAGTTGTCAGGGATGCTGGCTTACAATTCAGCAGCTGGCAATTATGGTAACTACCACGTTGTTAGGAAAGGATGAAGGAGAGCGGGTGCAGCTCTAACCACTTAGAGGATGGAGATAGACTCTGTGATGAGCACTGGGGACACTTGTTTCACACCAGAATTTGGATAAACCTGAGCTTGGACTCTTTCTTTCCCTGTTGCTACCGAAAAATTTTCAGGTCTCATAGTAATTCTTCTAATCGACTTTGTGCACTTAAAAAACTTCGTGATTAGCCCTGGGTGGGTGGCTTAGTTGGTTGGTCATCCCGTACACGAGAAAGGTTGTGGGTTCGATTCCTGGTTAGGGCACATACCTAGGTTGCGGGTTTGATCCCTGGTCAGTTGGATATGGGAGGCAACTGATCGATGTTTCTCTCTCTTCTTTCTCTCAAATCAATAAACATAGCCTGGCTAGTGTGGCTCAGTGGTTGAGCATTGCCCCATGAACCAAGAGGTCACGGGTTTTATTTCTAGTAGGGCACATGTCTGGGTTGTGTGCTTGATCCCCACTAGGGGGCGGGCAGGAGACAGCCGATCCATGATTCTCTCTCATCATTGATGTTTCTATCTCTCCCTCTGCCTTCCTCTCTGAAATCAATAAAATACATATATATATAATATATAAATAGATATAAAAAATATATAAAAGGCTAATATGCAAAGTGACCCCTTGGGAGTTCGATCGCTCGCTATGATGTGCGCTGACCACCAGGGGGTGGTGCGGAACGAAGGAAGGCTCTGGCCGGCAGCCTGCAGCCAGGGAAGGCCTCGATTGGCCCTGATTGCTGGCCAGGCCTAGGGACCCTACCCGTGCATGAATTTCATGCACCAGGCCTCTAGTAAATAAATAAACATATCCTTGGGTGTGGATTTAAAAAACAACAACTTTGTGACTAAATATATATTTGGGCCCTGGGGTCTTAGTGCCTTGCCGATCTGACAGAATCTGGCTGGGAGGAGCCGGACCCAGTGCGAGGACTCTTGTGACAATGAGGTCTTCTTAGAAAGCCTCACAGAGTGTGCATCTTAGAACTGGGAGGGGCGCCGCACCAGGCTGCCTCAGGCCTTGACCTTCAGATGGAGGCCTTGGGTAGCCCACTGGATAGATGTGCGCTGGGGGTCACCAACCTGGCGAGTCTTGAGAAGGACCTTGAGGACCAGCTCTGGGCTCCGAATGTCCCTGCTTTCCCTGCAGCCGGGGCCACCGCTGCAGTGCCATAGTGAACGACTCATATCCATCTGACGAGTTTTTTTTTGTTTTTTTTTTTTTAATATATTTTATTGATTTTTTACAGAGAGGAAGGGAGAGGGACAGAGAGTTAGATACATCGATGAGAGAGAAACATCGACCAGCTGCCTCCTGCACACTCCCTACTGGGGATGTGCCTGCAACCAAGGTACATGCCCTTGACCGGAATCGAACCTGGGACCCTAGAGTCCGCAGGCTGATGCTCTATCCACTGAGCCAAACTGGTTAGGGCCATCTGACGAGTTTTTATAGTAAACCTGCTGCCATGCTATCCTGGGCCGGGATGTTCTCTCTGGGGGGCTGACCTGGGCATTGTAGGATGTTTAGCAGCATCCCGGGCCTCTACCCACTGACACCGCCTCTCCAGGGTTGACAACCAGAAGACCCCCTCCAGACTGCCGGACGTCCCCTGGGTGCCCTTTCCCTCGATAGGTACCCAGGTGGCACCTCTGCTTGGAGAGGATTTTCGTGTCTAAAGCGCATGCCTCTTTTGAAGACAGGGCTGTGGGGCCTTCCGCTGGGAGGCCCCTGGTGAGGCCAGTCATTGCCTGCTGGGCTGTTTTCTTCCCGGCTGGCCCTGATAAAAGGCTTTATTTACATAGCAAAACTCAAACAAATACTTGCTGGGTCCGCAGTTTTGTAGCTGGAGAAAGGAAATCGGAGGAGCCTGCACGGCCAGTGCTGCCTTTCACAGGCCGTCAGGGGCTGCTGGTCGGGGCTCGGGCTCTGGGTGAGTTTGAGTGAAGGGGATCCGACTTCCCTTCCCGGGAGTGGCATCCATGGAATGTGAAGTGCCTGTGTGAAGTGCCCCCAGACCCCCACTGCAGGTGGCCACGCCGACTGGAGCAGTGGCATTTACCAGGGCTGCCAAACAGCCCGCTGCTCCCAGCAACGTCAGAGTCCTGGGAAAACGCAGGCGTTGACTTTTTGTGTGTCCAGGGCCTGTGAGGGGATCCCGTGCACCAGGTCCCTGCACAGGTCCCGCTGGCCGTGCCGTTCCTTTCCCCATCAATCCAGGAAGCCTACTCGTGGTCGGCAAACTGCGGCTCGCGAGCCACATGCAGCTTTTTGGCCCCTTGAGTGTGGCTCTTCCTAAGCCTTAGGAGTACCCTAATTAAGTGAATAACATTGTACCTACCTATATAGTTCAAGTTTAAAAAATTTGGCTCTCAAAAGAAATTTCCATCGCTGTACTGTTGATATTTGGCTCTGGTGACTAATGAGTTTGCCGACCACTGGCCTAGACCTTCAGTGGCTCAGTGGTTGAGCGTCAGCCTATGAATGGGAGGTGGCAGGGCACATGCCTGGGTTGCGGGCTCGATCCCCAGTGTGGGGCGCGCAGGAGGCAGCCGATCGATGATTCTCTCTCATCATGGCTGTTTCTGCCTCTCTCTCCCTCTCCCTTCCTCTCTGAAGTCAATACAAAAATATATAAAACAAAACAAAACACTGTCAGTGGGAGTGGGGAATGGGGGAAGCTCATTTCTAAAATGTCAGAATTCTGAGAAAGCACCGAGTGCCCGGCTGGGTGTCGGCAGGCTGCGGCCTCGGGAATGTTTGTTAAGAGAAGGAATGAAGCCAGGCCCTCCTTTGGGCCTGTCTTGAGGCTCCCCCCCCACCCCAAGAATGCCAGAGCCTCGGCCAGCAGCCCCACAGGAGATGGACGGGCCTGGCCTGCTCCCACGGTTGCGCCCATGTCAGGTTGCCTTCGGGGAGCAGAGCCACCCTGGGCAGTGGGAGGGCTGTGGGCCGTCCCGTCCAGTGTCCTGACTCACCCTCTCTGGGGGTTCTGCCCATTAGCATTTCCCCGGATGTGAGAGAGCCCCAGCCATGCTTTCTGGTTTGGGGGTGTGTGTCCCACAGCAGGTGGCACATGTCCTATGTAAATCAAGGGCTCAAGGCCAAAACTGGTCTCTCGGAGGCACTGACACCTCGCCTGGCCTCGAGGTTGGACAAGGGGCTCCTTCTATGGGCCATGCTGTCCTCGTCACTGGGGACCTGGGGACCCTGGGCATGGCAG